CCCCTCCCTGCTCTCTGAATCTTGTTTGTGTCTCTGAAATTCAATATCCAGTTTATATTCAATATAAGTGTTGTTGAGTCTCATCCATCAGGCCTCCTATCAGCCTGCTCTGTGTTTTTGTCTCTTTCCTTGATCAGTCCTCTATAATTCAAAGCTGGATAATGTCAACTTGCAAAGATGAATATAAAGTCTTTTGAAGAGATTTATATATATTGTTTTATCAAATGTTATCTATATTTACATTTTAAAGACGTAAGTACAAGTGTTGCTACTAAACAAAAAAAGCAAAGTAAGGGTCTGTAACAAGAGGAGGAGCTTAGCGATGCAAAAATAAAACAGGAAGTATTGAGATTAAAAAACACACACACACAAAAAAAAGACCTTGACAGGAATGAGGACAAGTTATTCAGGATTCAAAACTTTATTGTCCAATAACGCAGGTATGAAAGTTTATCTTTCCCTGGTGGACGGCACAGAAAAGAATACAATGCAGTACATGAGAAGACACAATATATTGTCTGTCATACAATTTATAAAAAATAAAAATACTGTATAGTAATGGAGGCAAATATAAAAAATAAGCAAAAGTTGACTGTGTTTCAAATAATCACGTCTGTAGCTGTGTCCCCATCCAGGGGCTGCATCCTTTGGAGGTTGCATTTCAAGGCCGATGGTGTAACAGCCTTGTGACGAGGCTGTTCCATTTCGAAGGCTCCTTCAAACATGGCTGAGAAATGCGCCCTTCCATTCCTGAGCCATGAAGGATCCAATGGGTGGATCTTTTCCTGAGATGATGCTAACAAGCTAGCTATGTGGGCTATCAAGCTGCAGTAAGTGAATCGACTCAACGTAGCGAACGATGCATAGGTACAAACAGTAAAAAAGCTGAATTGGAAATTCTCTGTAGGCTAGACCATTTCATCTCGGTTCGGCCTTCGTTGGCCCAGTTGACCGAATTGGGACACAGCCGACGTAAACAGGTCTCTCTCTTTCTCTCTCTCCCTTCCTGCCTCCCTCCCTGTCCTGCTTCCCCTCTGTCTCTCTCTCTCTCAGCTTCCTCCCATGCCGCACAGCGAACACTTGAAACTTTCAGCGGCGCACGTCATACGTTTGGAGACAGCCATAGTGGGATGGGACACGGATGCAAACACACACATAAACAAACAGGCTTCCGTATGCACACACAGCCTCTCCCAGATTACTTGAACTATCTCTAGCTCTAAGAGGATTTTACCATGGGAGGGTGCTGCACTTGAATCGCATGCACCTGATGGCCATTGATCCATCCTAAGCTTGCACATAGTCACGGGCCGAGCTGTTATTTTTTGTCGCTACGAAAAAGCTTCTGACCTTCGCTGCTTCTTCTGATGCTTATTTTGGATTCAGGACTACATTAAAATACTTTAAAATAGCATATAGCTGCTATCTGAGTGACAAGAGGGAGTCGTTAGACAGAAAGCATCCAAACCCTAATCCACACCCGTCACTTTCTGTCCACGATCCTCTTTCAATCAGATGCATTTGAAATAAATGTGTCCATAAACAGTGTGCTCAAGCTGTTAGGCTTATTAGCAATGCTGATGTGAGTGGAAGATTAGAAGGGTGGTGTTGTTTGTAATGGAAGAGACGCTTTAACAAGTCCCTCGGATATGTAGGTTGATAAGCAAAAGGTTGCAATCAGCAAGCTGGCGAGTGAGAAAAACAGAATGATATAATATATAGTGTCGAGGGAAAGTAGGATGCTCATCAGGTTTTAATTTCATGTGTTATCTTTAACAGTCTTTATGCAGCAACCCGGGTTTTATTTAAATTTACTTTACCCAGTCAAGATTTATAGGTAGTATAATCAAGATGTAAGCCAAGCCTCTTGTAGAATATATCAGTGTTAAGACAGTGAACTTTGACACTGATATTGACTTTTACTGAGACTATAATAAAATATTTAATAGTATTTCAGACAGAATTTGCTTTCTCACACTTCAACCTCACATATATTTACTGGAAGAAACATTTACTAAGGAAAAGACATCCAAGATAAGACACCTTTTAATGTGGCCTAGCGATGGACGTCATGACAACTGCCTAAAAGCGAGGCCAAAGCATCTCTGGCCAGCTGTAATATA